TCCCGCTTCCCTCCTCTCCTCGTCCCCGACGTTCCCCAGACTCGATACAAGCTGCCTCCTGAGGATCACGCGACAGGATCTCTCTCTCTCAAATGCGTCCTCTCCGCCGATATCGCCCTCTAATAACTTCCCCCTCGACGCGGCGGACGGCCGCGACGTCTCTCTCCACCCTCTCGTCGGACACTGCGGTTTAACATACATAACATCATATCGACATAGGTAAGCGTAGTCCACTATAGCTGTGGTATGGTATAGCACTCTGCGGAATTTTCGCGAAATTTTCAGTCGTTACGAGTCGTAAAGAGTAGTATCCGTTTCGTATTCCTACGATGCCTCCCGGCACTCCGCATCTCGGCGCCCCCGACACTGTCCGTGCCTCCTAGGGGTTGCTCTCCCAGCGGGCGAGCTGAATACGCCTGGTGTCGAGGGAGGGTGAGAGCAGCGACTTGAGGGACGCGCTTGGCGGCGAGCCGCCGAAGTACTTGAGAGTCAGCGGCGACTGCAGATGCCTGTGTCGGATCACCTCTCGCTCAGCAGGCAGTGGCCAGAGTTCCTAGCGGACAGTCGGGGGACTGATCTGATTAATCGAAAATATCCCGGCCGCTCCGCGGGTCATCAGCCACCCCTTCCGCCCCTTCCGAAAATTCCGCCGCTTCTCCGATCGTCCGAAGCAGTGCACTCGGAATTGCACTTTCGTAGGCGATTTCCGACGGCTACGTCCGCTTTCTTGTTACCCTCGCCTCTCTCCCGTTCGCCCTTCGAGCCGTGCGACTGACAATCGTCGCCACAAATTTCTATATCCAGCGAATATCAACTAACAATGACATGATATTAATGTTACAATTCCCCACTCGGCAATATAAATGCAATATAACACGTGTGTTATGTAACGGTTACATTGTCGAGAGGGAAATTGTAACATCGATGTTGTATTACTGTTGGTTGGCATTATATATATGTGGCTCAATCTCAGGACCTTCAACTTCATGACGGAATCGCCGGGTCACGGAAGAGGTTTGATGATCAAACGACGATGGGATTTGTTCTTTTGCGGTCGGGAAGAGGATACGCTGATAATCCGAAAGTAGTTTACCTGCAGCGAGAGAGCCTCGTCTCAGGATTCGCCCTGCTTGTTCCTGCGACCAGTCAAGGATCCAACTAGAGACTTGAGGGTCGCACCTAACCCTCTGCCGCTCGGAGTGTTGAGGCTGCTGGCGTTTCTGAAGCCCTGCGGATGTGCGTCCAAGCATTTCTGGTACCTCAGCTAAGTACAGAGAGAGAAAGGTTTCCTTGATCCAGTGACCTTATTCAGTCGGGTTTGTCGGATCGTCAGGAAGAGGTTCTCACCTTGCAAGCGGCTTCGATCGTCTTGCAGAGCGCCCCGCTGCTGGGCTCGCAGTTGAAGACGTGTGCGATGAACAGGTCCTGCGCGGTGTGCATGATGAAGGCGCATTGCTTCACGTTGCGGCCGATACCGAGGAATGACAAGTAGCGTACTCGACACTCGGTGATGAGCTTGTCGTCCTAGAAACCACGACCGTTAGAAATTATCGATTATAACGATCTTTTATATCTCGATCAAAAATCATGTCAAATAAAAGGGTCATAAAAAAAATTCGATAAGCGATTGAAAGGAAAAACAATTTCGGCCATTTTGTCACAGAATTTTCGCTTTCGAATGATATTGTGTTAAACTTTCCTTGTCTTTTATATGGGAAACATAAGCGAAACGAATAACGTCGATGATGATGGTTCACTCACATTCGGTGTAAGAATGGAAATCATGCTAGGAGCGACGGCGACATTGACGTTTCGCCATTGATTGATCGGCGTGTTTGCCACGATATGTTCTATCGCCTCGTTCAAGACCTCCATGCCGGTTGCTTGAGTGACTTGCATGGATCCGAGGTACTGCGCTCGCAGTACTTTCTTCGGCTCCTCCATCGGTGTTGGAAAGGATTGCGCTGGGCAAAAATAACAGAGGAAAAGTGCTTGAGTGACTTATCATTTCTTCCATTTTACTTCTAAGCAAATTTCGAGCTGTTCTGCTTTTTCATTATATCTGATTTTTTTACGCTCATATCTTACACATAGGTCGACGTGAATGCCCACGTAATTTTTCATCTTTTAACTGGGTTTCCTTAATTAGTTAATTTTTCGATTAGAATCAGACGATAAGTCAAAGAATCATCGGTTACTTACTGACTAGTGCTTGGCCGTTTCTGTGAAAACGCCGATGTTCGGTTGGCAGATTCGTGGGCCTCGTGGCTAGACTCGTCCGTCCGTTGATGTCCACCGGTTTCGCGAGATTCTGATGCTGGGACCGCTCGATCATGATCTTCTTACAAATGTCGCGAAGCGTGTTCGCGATCGTACGCGCCGGTATGTCGCAACGGAACACGTGGCACATGTGTTTCCTGGTCGATCGATCTCTGGCTACGTAAGCGAAGTCCCTGGAAGAAACAATTAAACACGCACTTAGCGATTCGATGTCGCGCCGAACGGCGGAAAGCTTTTAACCAGTTAACTGTTTTTGACGAGTATACTCGTCATGAAAGAAAGTACAAAATTTTGGCGGCAATTTAAGGTTAAAATTTTGTACCTTTTTCATGACGAGTATACTCGTCAAAAACAGTTAACTGGTTAATTCCTATCGTGTCTTACCTTTCGCTGATGAGTCCGAGTCAGGATCGGGAAAACGGGCGTTCGTGAAAGCAACGTGAACATATTAGTACGATGTACTTGTTATCTTCGATAATAATCAGCAAGGATTCTACGTACAATTCGCGCAAGGATCGCTGAATAATTCACTCACCGACAGTGATCTCTTCCTACGCCCCATACCCTAACCGTATGAATAGGTTGTGTGTTCAGTACGGTGAGATTCTCCGGATCGATCAGCTTAAGCGCGCCCTCGTCCAAGTCCATAAATAGATCCTTGCCCTGAAATATTTCGTAACACATGTCTCGCGTGTTTATCGCGCGGCAAAATCGAATGCTTACTCAGTGGTCACACATTTGAGGGGCCACGCGTCCTAAATACACGCCCTTACGGCTCGCACGCGTCTCTCATTATAATTTAATAAGTCTTAGCGCACACGTGATGATTTTTTACGCTTTTCTTTGCACACACAAGTCCCTCTGTACATTTGGAATTTTACGGATGCTTTACTCCCCCTTTAGGGGGGTGGTGGGCTCAATTTCCGGAGGTACTTACGTCGCCCCACCGACCGACGACGTCCAGGAGGTCGTTTCTGCCGAGCGAGAGATCCACGATGCACTTGTTGACGGCCTTGCTGCTTCTCTCGGGCGTCAGGTCCTCCTCCGCGATCTCCGTCCAGCCCAGGGACCGCACGGCGAATCTGATCGGCTTGTCCCTGCCCTCGGAGTCCGCTCTGGCGGGATAGCTTCTTCGTCTGAAATGCGAGGAATAATTAACGCAAACGGCCGACGACAGCCGCGACGGACGGTGATTAGCGAGGCGAGCGTGACGCTTACTTCAGCGCCAATTCCACCTTCCTCTTGTTCTCCAACTCCTGGTCCAGCGCCGAGCTCGTGTTGCTGCGAGTCACCGTGTTCACCATGCCGCTCAAGGTGTGAAAATTGTTTATCTGTAACGACAGTGCCGCGAATGGAGAAAAGAATGAAGTAACAACGATAACAATATTAATCTGTCATAGAATTCCCGTTATCCCGTCAACGTTGAGACGCGAAATTAATCGAGAGGTGATAATTAATTGAAATGTGAGGTTAATTGAAGGATAATAATTGATTGAAACGCAGTAACACGAGGAAACTCGGCAACATAGAATATTCTGCTCACGCTATCGTTATCCTTGACCAGGCTCCGACGCGCCTCCGTTTTCGAGTGCAGCGGCGCCTCCGGCGGTTCTCTCTGTATGTTACCGCTCTTCACGTGCCAGTAATATGGCCCGTTCTCGTCTGAAATATCGTTCGATCGGTCGCAAATAAAATCTGTAAGTTCCATGCGAGTAACCGGAGCGACGGTCGCAGAAACGCGACGCTTAATAAACGCCGAATATTCGGCGGGCTCCGAGTTTGTAACAGTCGCGTTAAAACAGTCGTGCGCTCCGGTTCTGGTTCTCATCCCGCCCATATATCTTCCTCCCGGTGAATAAGGATGAGGAAAATCGAGATACGCGAGAAAACACTTGAATATATTGCCATTATTGAATTTTTTCCAATCTAACTGACCAATTTTCGGCGTGAAAAGCTCCTGACGGGATGTCCGAGCTTTCTCGCTTAATATGATAATAGTTTTCGCGCTGAATCTTGCACGTACTTTAATCACATTACCCCGAATATCAGGGATCGATTTTATATCACCGTCAGCGTTTCGAGAGAAACGAGCCGAGTCGAAATTTGGATGCTATTTTGACGCTCTTCAAGTTCGCGCCCGCATTTAGACAGCCTACAGATTAATCAAAACCAACACTCAGAGACCCGATTTTAGACATTGCGCAGTCCGCAGGCTAACTTCTCTCTTGAACCTTTAATTCTACAGATTTAATTTATTAATCTACCTCGATTTAATTTCCAGCTTATCTCGGCCATCCCATTTCGACGCGAAAACGGAAATTTAATACATCGTCAAGGCTGGCAGAGGAGCCAATTATATCATCAGGATATAAATTGAATCTATTTCGTTATTTTTTCGCTCCTCTACTGCGCTGCAGAGTTAAAGGAATTTAATACAGGGCCGAAATTTCGACCCGAGCACGCGCCCGCGATGCTATCAGGCGTGCTGCCGTATTCGCCGCTAAATACGGAGGCGTTGCGCCTTCTTTCCGCCACCGATGTATCGATCGTCGCTCGATACCTACCCTCGTGCTTCTGCCAGCCGGGCGGCAGATTCTCATCTTTGTCCTCGGAATCGGTGCCGTCCACGTCCGACGGTTTCTCCTGGGTATTGTTCTGCAGAATCGCATTGTTCTTCTGGTCCTTCGGCTGTCGCCGTTTCACCGGCACCGCGTACAGCTCGCTGTTCAGGCCACCCTCCACGTGCGGCACGCCGCCCATCTCTGCGGTCTCGTTGTCGGGTTTCTCGCAATAACTGAAGTGCAGAGTCAAGAAAACGTGGCGTCAGGAAACGGCGGCTGAGCTCAACTTATTCCGAAAGAAACACCGCGTCGCGTCATCGTGACGATCATGTGTCCACTGAATACTCAAACAACACACAAAGAGCTTGCGCTCGAAAGATGGCCGAAGCGATTCTCGAGAATCACCGACGTCATTCGGATAAAATTCTCGGGAAGACTTGACTTTTGCTTTGGGGAAAAGGGAAATGCGTATTCGACCACGTACATTTTCATCGCCGGAGTTTCACATACATCTCGTAAGCGTGTGGGTAGCGGGTTATTGCAGTCAACGGCTGTAATCTTAGATTCTTATGTCGTTAATTTTCATTCCAGCCACAAGCGCGCGCCCGGAAATTCCTTTCCGGAGAAGCCACAAGTTCCTCACACAGCCTTAAACAGCCAAGAATGCGTCCAGTACATGCGTCTCTCTCTCTCTCTCTCTCTCTTTCCCTCGAATTCAGCTCGAGTGTACTCTCGTTAATACATTTCCTCGAACCTCTTTCGCGCCTTTCCGCGTGCATCCACAGTACACAAGACGGGAGAAGGTAAACGAAGGGAGTCAAAATCGGTGCTGCGAGAATTACAGATTTGGGAACGGGGGAAGTGATCGCAGCGCGCTTTCGCTCGTTCAACGATAAAAAAAGAATCAGCGATATAAAACAGCGCAAGCTATAATAGATTCCAGCCGATATACAAAGCTCCGAGGAAAGAACGTCCGTTCTTACTTATCGGCCTACTTCCGATCTCGTTTAACGACTATTACTATTCTCGGCTCGGTTCCGGCCCACGTTTAATTTGTTTAAATCCGTCTTGCATCGTCACTGGGTGGTCACGCGACAAGCTTATTTGTTGAAATGCTCCTTGCCTATTCCCTCTCTCTCTCTCTCTCTCTCCTTCTCTCTCTCTCTCTCTTCGTCTTCAGCATTATATCGCGAAAGTCTACGTAAGAGCGCGTGATCGTGGTCGCGTGACTTCGGGGAGTTTCAGGGCGACGTTCGTTTCAGGGCGAATCACGATCTCCGAAATAAGCGGCTTGATTTATCGCGTCATTGTCCGGCCGTGTTCGTTCGCGGACGAATCACCCGGCCGTTTCGGCCGAACATTCGCAGCGATCGTCATTGACTCCCGGCGGCACGACAAATTGATTTCCGTCTGCTCCGGCTCGATCGTATACGGTCGTCTCCTCGTCTCGTCGCGCTCGTAAACCCGCTATCGATCCTCCGCGAGAAAGACGGAGTCCCCGTTATCGTTGCCACGAGAAATCCTCGCGTGCTAATCGAACCACCCGGGCGCGACACGAGCAGCCCAGAAGGAGATTATTTACGGCGGCTGTAAAATAAAACCGTCCTTCGCGGCGAGCCGGGCGAGGAGAAATTGCGCTTCGTGTACTCGGTAGTACGGTATGAAATTATGTATCGCGCCCTTGTGAGCGCGGCTTCAAAGTTACCTGTCGCCGAAGTCAGGGGGGGGGGGTAGAAATATCTGGTGCGCGTACCGAGGGCGAGGGATCATAACAGGTGTCCGTCGTGGGTCCAATGAGCACCCGTCTCAAGGGGGGAAATAAAAAAGTCACGCCTTTAGTTTCGCTCGAAAAATTACCAAAATAAGTGAAAGATATTTCTCGGCTCCCGGAATGACGATTCGATCGCGGCCGATCGTTCGTTGATGGTTCATCGTAGCGCATTATACAGTGAAAAACATTTCGCAGTGTGTTCTGCTGCGCACATCGTTCAATTACATTATAGACTCGGAAGAATTACAACAGGACGGAGACGATTGTTCGACGATCGACGGTGATTTCAAACGGAGAACACGAATGTGATACAAAGGAAGCGCCCGAGCTCGTCGAGAAGCCAACAGCCACTTTGCGCCCGCCAAATTCAATCCGGTTATTCATTCGCTTTTATCGCGCGTCAGACCGTCGTTCTCCGAGGCGAGAAACGCAACGGGAGGCGGAGGGGGAGCAACGTCTCCGCTCCGTGGAAAAGTCTATTTTACTTTGTAATGCGAGGGCCCGAGACAAGTTCGACGTCTACTCCGGCGCCGGCGAAATTTTATTTCACTTTCCGATGCGAACGGCGCGCGCGCTAGGTCGGATCAGACTACGTCGGCACCAGGCGAGACCGCAGAGCCGAGATAGTAAGCGCGAGGGTAGTAAAACGGTGTCCTATCGGCGATGAAAATCGCGGAAAATCGCCTCGGAGATCCACCTCCTCGCCGACGTTGCGCGCGAGCAAAATGTCACGGGGAGGGCGAGTCGGGCATTCCGCGGATAAATATAGCGCGTTTCAACACGGAGCTTCGCTGGTGAGAGCTTTCACGGTTGGAGGGAATGCGTGCGCGATATGTGAAAGCGAACATGACCCGGCGGCGCTCGACTTGATTCGGGACTCGCGGAGAGAGCGAGTCGCGTCACCCAGCTTCTCGGCTGTAATCCGACGTTGGCGACGCTCGCTCTTCTGACGGGCACACACACGCGCACACACACACACACACGCGTTCGTTCGTATAGCGCAGCGCGTCCTGAGCGACAACAACGAGCGAGTACAACGGCAACAACGGACTCGACAAACAACCGCTCGAGTCGCTCGCACCTGCGAGTCACGGGGGTCACGCGAAACCCCGGGCGCGTCTCGGCGTGGCGAGAGATTCGGTGGTTGTTACTGCGACAAATAGAAGCAACAACTTGGACACACAAAAGAGAAGCGACGGGCAGTAGCAGCAACAAGCGGATGATCATCTGCAAGAGACAGGCCACGGCCAGATCACGACGGTGAGAGAGCGAGAGCGAGAGACAGAGAGAGAGAGAGAAAGAAAGAGAAAAAGAGAGAAAGAGAGGAGCGTTCTTCGTACGTACTTTCTCGACCCGGAGACGCCCGCAGCGTCGATCGATGCCGCGGATTCCGACTGAAGGGGCTGAGATCGAGGCAGGATCGCGCTCGACGACGAGGAGGACGACGATCGGGGATTCCCGTTGAGGGTGTCGTCGACGAGAGCGGACTCCGCCACACCCTCGCAGCCGTACCTGAATCAGCATCGTTCATGCAACGAATTACAAGGGGATGAATCGCCGGCGGAACGTTGGTGGTGGTAGAAATGGAGCGGAGGTGGCGGAGGTGATAATGATAATGCGACGCTTGTATCGCTCGTTTGTCAACCCTCAAGCGAGCGTGCGCGCGCGATGTTTAATGAGATCTCGACGCGGCTCTTTCTTCTTTATCGCTGTTATTTACTCCGCTTGTCTCGTTGTATTATCCCTCGTCACGAGAACAGTGGGATCATTATCGTTGAAATTTTCAGTGGACCTTCAGCGATATATTGTTTATTGCCATTTTTCGTCGTCTCAAGGTAGCTGTAGAGTGCTGAATTCTCAATGACGATATTATGCGGCCTCTGCATGAGTTTATTTGCGGAAAAAAATATTTTCCTGCAATTTTATTTGACTATCCAAGTAATGAGCATTAATTTGGAGCGAAATTAAGATAAATATACGCACAATATTACAAACACAGAGATATATTATTTATTTTTCATTTTTAGCGCTTTATTATTAAATTAATGCTTTATGTATACGTTAGTTGTACTAATAGAACACGCGTGTGTTGCTATTGTATTATTAATTGTAAATTTCTTCTGACGTATAAACAGTGTCGTCCTCAGTTGCAAATATTTCAGCTTCGATCATTATCTAATTACGCCAATAATTAAGTCATATTTAAATCCACATATATTGCGTGTTTCTCACTCTTGCGAGTTTCAAAGAATGCTTGAAAACTCATTTTATGCTACAATTACCTCGAGCGACGCTTAAGTCTTAAGCGACCGTTTGTTATTTTTTCCCACGGTTCTTTGTTATTATCGGGGATTTAATAATTTCACGGTGCGTCTCGCATGCGATATTGACAAATTGTTTATTCACGGCCGTTGAGACAGAGTTTCTCGATCGTGAGTATATTTCGAGTACAGTTGCATCCCGGGACGCACTCTTATTCCGGGTTGCGCGCGTAGGAACCGCACGGTTGCAAGGAAGTGGCATTTTAATTAACGATCGGGGAACAGTGCCAGGCACCGACGTGGTTAGTACAGGGTCGCTAACCATGTCGAAGTAATTAAGGGATTAGCCGAGCGGTTTGCTGACTAACGCCAGCTGCCTCTCCTGAGTATCGTTCGGGCATTAGGAGTACCTCCTAAGGGCTTCCGCGTTCTCTTCGAACGTACCTACTCAAGGAGCACGGATCCAGGACTTCGAGGCCTTAATCGCCGGGATTATAACAAACTATGTGAGCCGAGCGAAAACTTCCGTCCGGAATCGGGTTCGACTTTGCTTACTTTGCTCGGCGCCCGAAGCTCCGGTATTAAAAGTTTAAGCGAGTTACAATAAAACCGTTTCCATAAGGCGAATAGAATTATCTCCTCCCCTCTCTTCGAACTTTAAGTATCGTTGTCGCTTGTTGTATAATTTCGTTCCCTCCGTTTCTCGGTCGATCGCGTAAATAAATATTGTTATTTCGACGAATACGTCAACCAGAGGCTGGTTATACATACATTTTAAACGGCAATATCGTACGCAAATATTTGTTTGATTATTTGAAGGGAGTTTTATGACGGATCAAACGATCGTGGAAGTTCACCCTCTTATCCGGCAAAGGTCTGAAACGTTATAACACAGTCGCAACCCTCTGACACTCGCTGCCTCTACCTATATTTTCGTCTAATCCCGCCGTCGCCTCCTCGAGGAATACAAAGTTCGTTCGGGCGGTCGCATTATCGGCAATCAGTTCGCGTCCCCCTAAGCAGGGATTGCGCAATTGTTAACAAGAGTTTAGGTTATTGCTATATTATCGCGCCGACTCGTTGCATAATCCTTGTTAGGAGCCGAGCGGATGCAAACCGGTGCATCGACACACTCGGTGTTCCCGAGTTTGTTAATTACATGATAACGATCGTGATAATTTCTTGTACGTGCTGCTAATTGGTGTACCTGCGTCGTCACTCGCAACACGAGAGAGAAAACTTCTAATTGCCGGCCGGTGCGCGCGATTCGAGAGAAATTTTCGAACTTCTCCTCGCCCATTGCGACACCGTGAAAATAGAGAGACGGAATGCGGCCGAGAGAGGAAGGGGGAGGGGAAAGGAGAATAGTACGGGAGATTGATCGAGAAATTTTCAAGCAAGTCGGGCTGCGGTAATTCCGCGCCGCAGCCCGGTGGTCTAAAAAGGGAGGGAGGAAGGAAAAGTGCGTAATTTAAGGAAAGACCGAGGGAGGATAACGACGGTACGCGTTATGACACGCGTAGCTGAACGACATAATTTCGCGCGTATGTGGGTTAGGAACGGCGCGAGGGGCGCCTTGGAGAGCCGCCAGAAGTTTCGTGAGGGGGGGAATGTGTCCTTATTTCGCCGGGACGGACGAGGGTGACGCAGAACGATCGATGAGATCGGACGCGTCTGCGGGACTCTCTACGTCGATCTCGGCCGCGTCGATCGCACCTCCCGGATTCCGCCCAGGACATCGTCGCGCGCGCACGTTTCCTTTCATTCCCGGAATCTGGGTGCCGTCGTTCGTCGTCGATTGGATAAAACCCGCGATTTATGGAATTACGATTATCACGGACATCGTATCGCGCGCGCGGTTATTAAACGCGTTATTAATTAATCCGTAATATCGTTCGGTCGCGCGGGCGTCGAATCGGAGGGCCCGACGAGCGTTTTATCGAAAATGAAATCGCAATATTGACGCATCGACGTAATTCGTTCGGAGGAACGTTAACTCGATTCGCGATTCGCGAACCGCGATAACGCTGTAGACCGGGGAAGGGTCGTTATTAATACCGTTAATCCCGGGATTCGCGGTATTGCGACGATATCTGGAATACCGGGTTATTGACACTGGACACATCGATCGGCCGAGACCCATATAGAGTTACGAGATCAATGATCGGACGGGCGATGATGCGGTCAATTTCAGCGCTCGAAACACTCCGAGATTCGTCTCGGATAGCCGATAGCTCGATAGCAATGCGAGAGTGGAACGTGACACCCTGCGAGAGAAAGAGAGAGAAACGGAGAACGGAGTAGAAGAGACCTCATGTATAATTTTTCTTTCTAAAGAAACGCGCGTGCGGATAGAATTTCGTATGTTTTATATTTGCAGCGTGATACGTAAAATTCACACGTACCGCCTAGTGAAAGCTTTTACATCATCCAAACGAATTTTGCTGCAACGTTATCTTCATGGAGATTTATTTTCGACGGTGTCGCGACTCACAGTGACTTATTTTCGGCGATGCCATGCGACGGATATTCGGTGAAATTTCGGAGAAAGACAAAAATTAACGCGGCAATCCGGATAGAAATATAAACGGGCGCGAAAAATGCCCCTGTAGAATTTTATCCACTTCTACTTAGATCCTACACAAAAATTTAACGCTCATACAATTCGTAAAGTCAGTTTCGTAAATCTACCTAACTAGGCGGCTAGGCCCTTAGTCGCAGGCCTTATTAATGGTGTCACGTCAATCCCTACTTAGGGCCTATTCATGAAAGTCTATTCAGGGTTTGCCTTTCCAAGCCATATCTAGGCCCAACGAAAGACAGGTCTATTTCGGGGCTTGCCTATGTAGGATCTATGTAGGGCCACTACAGACTTGGGGCACGCTCCGATTAATTTCTACCCGGGAATTGACGCTTTTAATCGAAGACATTCAGATGATAATAGCGCTGTGTATATCTCACTCATTCTCTACAGTTGAATGTCGAAGAAGACGGGACTAAATGTTTCCCGATCCGAAAGAAGATCTTCGTATTTACCCTGTGGCGTTAATGACACATCGCGTTAGATAGCGAGGAAGTGGACATAAACTAATTGTGACAACTGAAATCGGCTACCGGAGTAGCATGGTAATTGTAACCCAGCCGGCGTGTACACGCGCCCATCGTCGTAACTTTCAGTCAGCTGTAATTAAATCCAATTAGGTCGTAAGGTGAGCAACTTCTGACGCACCTGGCTGGGCCGTAAATTACACCGGCAAGTGTCTCCTCTCTCTCTCTCTCTCCCCCTCGCATGTCTATCTCGTCGCGGCGCCGCGATTACGAGTATTCGCAATTTTATGGTTTCTGCACGAGAACGCGGATCATTATCCCCTGATTATATTGCTCGTCATAAATCACGGTCTTTTTCAAGGAAGCGCGAATTAAATCGTCAGGTGAGGCGCGAGGCGAAGAGATCGTTTCTTCAGTGATAAGAGCGAAGGGACGTAACGAACGACGGGAGTAACAATCAACGGCCCAAGAATAAAGGCGGAGGGAAAGGGAAAGAAGGGGAGAGGGTGGAGGATATAAACCGAAAACGGATCGCGCACGTATTCTCCGCGTATTCTGACGCCATCGTAATAGTTCGGAGTTAATCCTCAGAATGCACCTCATCGATCCTTAACGCGGCCTGCATTCTGCCGACGGCCTCCACGTAGCAGCGATCGGTTTTCCTCTATTACCGGAATCCGACAAACGCTTGACTATGAACGCGAGAGGGTGAGGAGGAAGAAAGAAAAGGATAAAGAGAGAGAGAGAGAGGGGGGGGGGCAGGGTTACAGGGTGTCGGGAAGGTCGGTATCGGCTCGCCTGGGCGTCTGTAATTCGCTGTCGGCGTTTGTCGATCGGCAGAAACAACGGCCGATCGACCGTGACGTGGACATTGGCGAGGGCGGCTGGTTTGCGCGAAGGGACTCGCAGGAAGAGAGAGAGAGAGAGAGGGGGAGAAAAAAAGAGCGATCACCGAGCCAGGAAAAGTGGTGCACGGCCGAAACATCGTGTAGGTAGGTAGGTAGGGTAGATGGACGCTCACACGGAGCTGCGGAGAGAATGAGGCAACGAGAGAGAGAGAGAGAGAGAGGAAGAGAGATATAGAGGGACAGAAGGAGAAAGAAAGAGAGCCGGGCTGCTCTCCTCTCCTCGCTCGATCAATACACACTACCAGCAACCACCCGACCAACCACCCTCTGCGTCTCTGCCCCACAGCGCAACCCT